GGCATGTACCTTGGTTGCGGGCACATCCTCAGTGGGGGGTGTGCAGGAGGTAGGTAATCGATGTCTCTCATTGATGTTTCTAACTCTCTATCCCTCTCGCTTCCTCTCTGTAAAAAATCAATAAAAAATATATATTTTTAAAAAAGAATCAGAAATGGGGAGCCAAGTTCCCCAGCTTAGAGGGCAGGGTGTGGTCCTTCAGAGAGGGTGCTGGCAATGGCAGCTATCTACAGGAGTGTATTAACCCAGTCTGAGAACTCCGCAGCAACACCTAACTGGTCTTCAGTACCTTTCAGCTTGTGGCTTTTCCCCTAAGAGGATGAGATGTCCTTACCTTACTGTATCCTCACCTTGAACCTAGGGAAGTCCCTTCCTTCACTTCTGCCTCCTTAAACATGGCTGCTTTTGGCACCGGACTTGCTAACAATCTGGCAGAAAGGGATGGGTGACCGAATGTAGCCCAATCCCTGGTTCTATCTACAGAGCATGGCTAATCCGTCCCCAAATAGTTACTGGTATTTGGGAGCTACAGAAAGCAAATTAATTACACTCCTGTGACTTTAAACATCAGTAACAAGGAGACATAAATAACACAGGGATTGAACCTGAAAAGGACTGGGGGTGCGAACATGCGTAAAACATACTTGAGATAAAGAATCTGCCCACAGATGAAATCTGATTGAAAGCTGGGAAAAACAAAAACTGGGTTCCAGTTGGAAGATCACAGGACTCCCTGGTTCCCCTTGCTATTAATGCAATTACAAGGTATGCTTGTACAATCATTGAAATAATAAAGCCTTGAGAGGGTGTGGCTTGTGGGGGGGTTGGGCAGGTTAGGTTCCTATTGAGGATGCAGGGCCAGGGAATGTAATCTTGTCAGGGGCTCCAGGAGCCTCCTGCAGGGCTGCCTGGGAAGGTGGGAAGGGGTGCTATTCTAGGGATCTGAGGTGTGCAGTTTTCAATCACCCTTCAGGGTCCTTGCAAGTTGAGAAGAGGAAGAAGAATGTGAAGGAAGCAGGCAGTGCCAAGCAAAACTGGAATTAAGACGAGATAAAGCACAAGCACAAAGTGAGGTCTGTGGGAGTTTCACCCACAGAACTAAGCTCCTGCTTTGAAAGTGTGCTAAGAAATCAAGAGGCTTTCGCAGATATGCATCATTAGAAATTAAGAACCAGCATCCAGCAAATATTTGTTGAGAGCTAAGGCCTAGTCCAGAATTCTCAAATTCTAGTATAAAAATACCCACATGTTTGAAATGCAGATTTCTAGGTCCAGCCATAAAGACTCTGATTCACTTAGTTGGGGTCCAGCCATAAAGACTCTTAATTATTGTCAGGCAGCTCCTATGACTTTGGATGGGTGGCTCTTAGACTGTCCTAATGACTTTGTAAAAAGAAAATGTGGATTCTTCAAAAGTTAGCATCCAATCAGAGACGACAAATAAAAATAAAATGGAATACTCTTTTGCCACCTTTTGTTTGTTGTTTTTGCTGTTGTTTTGTTACATTCCTAATCTTATTCACCTCTGGCCTGTTTACTGGAGAGTATCATAACCCAGAATCACACACCTGTCAGAGCAACAGTATATAGATTCTAAACCTGACTTCTCCAGTAATTTGTCATTACTTAGAGCAAAATCCTACTAGTAAGTGAGCCTCCTTGAAAGAGAGAAGGAGGGACAAATCAAGAGGGAGGTGATTTGCAAGTGATCATTTCCTTTCAAAATCTCCTTTCAAGATTTGAAGGTTAAGGACCTTTCTTCTGAGGAACATATTGATGGAGTCCCACGGATTCAGAAGATTCACTAGGGCTATGCAGTAGCTTTAAAGTTTGTCCACAAACCCATCCTAAAAGTACATTTCAAGTCACAACCTATAAAATACACAACAAACACGCTACATACGTATATATATTTGTGTGTAGTGTATATTTATGTGGGAATGTATGGACAAATGGAAGCATTTTATAAGACACTACTTACCATGTGAAATGCATTCTGATTCTTTCTATGCTCTGCCTTTTCTTCTCTCTCTCTTGTTTCTTTCTCTCCCCCACCTTCCTTAATGATAGTCAGGACAGCATGAATGATTTTGTCCTGCTGTTTGAAAACTGCTGAGGTCGGTGTAGGATTCTAGCCTCTTGGAGTAGAAAAGAAGGGAGAGGAGTTGGAATTGGAAAAGAAGTTTGCTCACGAATTTGTCCTTCTTTCTTCCTCAGGCAGTAACTCCCTTCGTCCATCCATTGTCTATCTTGGCTTAGATAGTACCCACATCCTGTAGAGAAGACTTCAGTCTTAGAGTTGATATATCAAAGCAGGAAAAATGCTCAGGGGAATATACTGATAAGCAAAGGAGTCTTTACCAGGTTGGCCTCCTGGCTGTCTTGCATGTGGCAGTCTCATTTTTCTTTTATTGCCTAACCTGTAATTCTAGTTACTCACCGAACCATTCTCTTCGCCTATTCCTCTTCCCTTCAGGGCTGCCAGAGAGGTCGGCACTTCTTTTCCTAGACCTTGAAGGCTACTGAAGGTACAGGGAGAACCCTCCATTCCTTAGTGTCCAGCTCAGGCAGGTGCAATCCACTTCAAAGGAAAGAGAATCGATGTTCTTATTTATTTTCAGCTAAAGTTCTTATTTCCATCACATGTAAATGAACTAAGAGACTCAAATGACCCAAGATCCCCACAGTCAACTTTCTTTATCCAGGTAGCAAGCTTCATTTTCACTGCAGCCACTTTACTATGTGTAGTAAAAGCATTCACACTTTTCTCTGCTCTTGATTGTGTTTAGTCTTGAAAAATAAAAGAAGCCAATTTCATGAGTCATTTTTCATCACAGGAGGAAAAAACTCACCCTAGCCCCATCTTTGTTGTGACACCTTTTTATCTCCATAAAGTAAAACAAAAATCCCTGACTGATTGGTTGGGTGTTGTCCTGTGCACCAAAAGGTTGCTGGTTCTATTCCCAGTTGGGGCATATGTTGGGTTGGTGGCTCATCCCGGGTAGAGAGTGGCGGATAGATGTTCCCTTCTCACATTGATGTTTCTCTCTCTTCCTCTCCCTTTCTCTCTCACTAAAAATCAATAAAAATAACTAAAGAAAAAACAACAATTCAACCCAGATTTCACTTGCTACCAGTTTCCTTCCCATACACATCTTATGAAAACATGTATTCAATGGCTTTTTAAAAACCATCAAGCACTTTGAAAATTAATTCTCTTCTAAGACTTCATTATAAATAGGATTTTTACATAAAATTACTAACCTTGAAGTTTCTATCCAGTTTTAGAGCAAAGAACTGGTTTTATCCCAGTTCTTTTGAGTACATTGCCATCCACTGAAAGCAAAGACTCTATAAGCACTAGTTTGAAAAGGTTCTCATATGGGGGTAATATGAGCATAAAAAATAGCAATAATGGCAATCGATTGAAATAGATCAAATATATAAAAATCCACAGGTTCCTTGAGATAGTATAATAAAAGAAAGTCATTGACCACTTCTGGAGTTTGCTAGGATACCAATTATTCTGAAATTAACAAAGAAAAAAATCAAGCATTAAAATTACTTTATGATGTTGTTTTATACATATTTACAGCCTCTGTGTGACCAAAGTGGATTTGGTCATATTTACAGTATAAGGCTTCAATATACTTTCCTGTGATAGAAACTTTTGTCTTCTAATATAATTTTGAAACTAGCCTTGCCTAATTTTGCTTTTCCTGTAATTTCACATGAACGAAATTATTAGTATAGTCCTCTGTATTTGACTTCTTCCAGACAACATTTTGTTTTGACATCCATGTAGAAAATTTTGTTCCTCTTTAGTGCTGAGTAGTATTTCATTATATGTGTTTACCACACCTTGTTTACCCATTCAGTAGTGCTTTTCCTGTAGCTGTTGAAATGATCATGCTGGCTTTTTCCTTTAACCTATTAATATGGTGAATTACATTAGATGATTTTCTGATGCTAAACCAACTTTGCATTCCCAGGATAAACCTCCCTGGTCATGATGTAGTATCCTTTTAAATGTTGTTGGGTTTGATATACTAAAGTTTTTGTTCAAGATGTTTATGTCTGTGTTTATAAAGGATATTGGTCTTAGCTCTCTTTTCCTTTTAAGAAAGAAATAGCCATGCAGTGGCTTTTGGTATCAGGGTAAAACTGATCTCATAAAATAAATTTGGAAGTGTTTTTGTAATGCCCATTTAATGCCTAGCAGATCTTTCAGATCAAACTATGCATATTTAAATCATGTATATGAAAATATATGCTTCAAATATAAAAGAATCTGTTATGACCTTGTTCATTCTTTTTTAAATTTCCATTACCAATATATCCTATTCATTTTCAAGCCTAGTTTGAAATAGCCTGGATTAGTGAGTGATTTATCATCACAGACTTTTTTTAATTGTTGACAGTATTTCAGATGTCCCCCATTTTCTCCCACCTTGTCCCCTTCCACCTAGCCCCCACCCCTCCCCAGGCCTTCACCACACTACTGTCTGTACCCATGGGCTATGCATATATGTTCTTGTAATCACAGATTTTAGAAAATAAGAGCTAAACAATTTTAGATATCTAGAGGCAAAAACCAAGACCCTTAGAGATTGCCAGACTTCCAGAACAGAGCACCTTCCCACACTTAGAGGTCTCCATCATATAACATTCCTTGCAAGCCTTTATGAGTCGTAAACGTATAATGTGTCTGCTGTGTATATACTTACATTAAAAAGTTAATGTGTCCATCCTTAATATTTTTCCTCCCTAGGAAGGTCCGCCCACACTGGCACAATCCAAAGAGGGAGCAGCAAAACAATGAAACTCCAGGATCCTGTGGCTTGGGGTTTACTAGTAGAACTGGGCATGCTCAGTCGCCAGGCAGATTTTTTCCCGTGAATTGGAAACTACAACAGCGCCTACTGAGCGCGCAGAGGTGGGCGTGCCCTCGTGGAATTTAGAACGTTGTCGCAGCCAATGGGGCCTCGCGGCCAGCTGCCGGCGCTTCTCATTGGAGGAGCGGGGAGGCCAGCGAGTAGAGGGCCCCCTGAGGGAGCAGTGGAGGTGCAGGTCGGAGAGGCCGTGCCCCGCGCGTGAGCAGCAGCAGCGGCGGCGGCAACATCCAGCGGCGGTGCCAGCCGTTCCAGCCCGTGGCTTTACTTTTTAGCTGCACGAACATAGTCATTATGCCGAAGAGAAAGGTAAGTCTTACCAAAAAAAAAAAAAAAAAAAAAGATTTCAAAGGCCTTCAAATTGTGCTTCCAGCAAACCTTGTCATTGCCATGGCTTGCGCGGAATGCGCCCGGTACTAAGTCGGCGATTGCGAATCTCTTCGCTCCCTACGCGTGTTTTCAGATGCTTGTTGTGGACGTTGCGCTCCCTCCGCCCGTCCCCATCGGCCTCGGAATGTTACTTTCTGTCCGGCGACGCGGTTTCCCCTCTTTTTGAACTCATTCTCTGCGGAATGGTTTCCGTCTCCTGCAAGAAGCAGACGCGGTTTACCTTCCCCTTTGCAGGAGGGGAGTCTCCTCTGCAAACTGCCCGGTTGTAGCTCGTGTGGCGGAAAAGCGGCGGGAGGGGGGGACGAGGACGCGCACGAGGAGATGGAAAAAGATAAGTCGGGCAGATGTTGGGGCTCTTCCCAAGGGGGCTGTGCCCGCGGCGGGTGCGCCGCGAGGGCTCCGGCGGCTCCGGCGGAGGGAAAGCCATGTTTAAAATAGCGCTCACCCCCCTGCTCGCTCCGCGGCAGACCCGTATGTACCAACTCCGGTGTCAATCAGGGCTGGGGACGCCGAGGCGGGGCCGCAGTTCGCGGAGAGCGCGGCGG